AGAGAGACTTCACCCTGATTCATAAGGAAAAGGGGATGGCGTATTCTCTTAGCTACTTCCTGCTGAAAAGGGACGCTGTGGGTTTCAGGGTGAAGGGCACAGAATCTTAATTCTGAAAGGGGCCTGAAGGTTTTGGAGCCCAACTCCTACTTTCTAGATGGAGACTGTCAACACTGGAGTGCTATGGGGCAAATACAGATTGTTTAAAGAAGTATACAGGAAGATATGCCCTTTCAGATGGGTAGGTAAGTTTCCAGAGACAATTTTTTCTGAGCCAAAAATCTGGGAATGGAGAAGAACTGCAGTACAAGCACACTTCAATCAAAAGAAATAGCATGTACCAAATCTCAAAGGTAAAAGAGGTCCTACTTGCTTCGTACTAAAGTTAGCTCTGGTGGCACAGTCCGTAGGGTACTTCACTGTTGCACAAAGACCAGTCTCTCTGGGAGGCGAAATCTATCACTGGTTCCAAGGAAGAAAGACAACTATATCTTCTCCAGCAATTTACAGCCTCTGGAGGATCTGGTATGAATGCATTTTCACTCAAAGGTAATGAGAAAAAGGGGAAAACAGTGACCTAGTTTAAGAACTTCTACGTACCAAGTATTCATTATGCTCATTATATTATCCGATTTAGTACTTACCACAACTCTTTGAGATGCTACTTTCTCAAATAACCCTATAAAATATTAGTTATTTAAAGTTTACTCTTTACTACTTCAAAAAATACCTAACTTTAAAAGGACTGTTAACTCTTGGAAAAGATTACCCAGAGAAACACAGGAGCTATTTCTTGTTTTAGAAAAGACTTGCAAGAAATGGAATGGGCCAGATACTAGGTCCTGGGGATGATTTGAGGGGATATAAAGTTCTTTTGAATGTAATACAACTGTAGGTTATACTTTAAAGTAATTGAAGTTAGCTTTACTAAACTTAAAGTAAATTAAGCAAAAAACTTTGCAACTCTGTCCTTCCTTTTGTTTTTGCTATGCTGAGTTTCTATTTTACAATTAAAATCCTCACAGGAAAGCACTACAATATGGTAGAGTGGGATTTATGAAATGAGACATGCCTCTGAGAACAGCTTCAATAGACAGTAGACGTAACCACTGAAAAAATATTTAACTTTCTGAAACTGCCAGATGGGGAGAATGTTTTCTTCATACAATTGCCATGATGCAAACACTAGAACACTTGTTATCTATGGAGATGCATTTAGAAGCTGTAAGTTCCCTTTCAAGTTTTTCATGCCTCTGTGTATCCACCTATCAGGTCAAAAGCATTTGTCTTACTTTCTTTGATGCTGCTTCTGTAGGGCTGCCTCTGATAACTGTCCTTGAAGTATCAATCTTCTTTGCTTATCAATATCTCCTTCCATTCGAGCAAAAGCATGAGAGCCAATGAAAGAGAGATCAACTCCCAAGCCTTCATCCTCCTCTTCTTGGCTGTCTAAAGCAGAAAATGCCGTTAATCAACAAGAGCTTATGATGAAGTTCGGCAGGAAGGGGTACAGATTGGGGATGCTACAGAGGGATGACTGAGAGACAACTCAAAACATTAGGAATAAGTTATTCTTTAAGAATAAAAATGAAATCCTATTTCAGTATCTGTAGAACATAAATTAAGAAATAAATTTCCTGCCCATGTATGATGGGAATTTTAGGAACACATGAATCAATCCAGGGGACCAAGGCTGTAACCTTAACTATGGAATGTGATCATAACTAAAAGGAAAATAGTTATCCAAGTTTCTCCTTGGAGGCTAAAATTTTGAAGCTCCATCGTACATGCTTTGGGCATGTGGCCAAGAAAGACCGGTCCTTGGAGAAGGACATCATGCTCGGAAGGGTGGAGGGACAGCACAGGAGAGGAAGACCCAGATGAGATGGATTGATACAGTGACTGGGACACTGGGGTTAGGTGTTTTGGAGACTGACTCAGGACAGGGCAGGCTTTAGAGCTGCTGTATATAGGGTCGCTATGAGTCTCAGGTGATTTGATAGCCCATAACAACATTATATAAGCTTAAATATATATTCTTGCAAATGTGGATGTATTTACCCAGCTCTTTGACTTGCTGGCAAATAAATTCCAGCCCTTTTGGCTGGAAGATGGATGGACGAGGACAGTAGTATAAAACTCTTATTCATTAAGAAACATTATGATCCTAATTTAGCTTCCTGTGTAGTCTTCTAAACCAGCCATACCAAAATAATCATTCTGTCCATTTAAGTGATAGTTTGCACTAGAAATTAGCAAGTTAATACCCTGATTTAATCATACTATCATTGTGAGCTTGGCTAGTGCAAGGAAGTGCTTTAGATTTTGATGTTATACACCACTGAGTTGAAAACCACTCACAGCTGATTTTTATCAGGTTTTCAGAGGCTATATAAACTGCACAGGAAGAAACTGCTCATTTCTCTCCGATGGAGCAACTGATGGATTTGAATGACCTGACTTTGAGCTGGTCTGGCAGTACAATGGTACCTGCTATCTTACTAGGTAAAATGACAAAACAAAGAAAGAACTTGGCCCATGGGCGGCTCCTAAAGACAATGCCATCAGCTGAAGTAAAAGTTGGTAAGCCATCTACTTAAAACTCCCCAAACCTACTTCACTGCCCCCTTCAAGCCATGACAGCTTAGAAGAGTTTGTTTTCATTTAAAAACAACAGAAATCCATGTCTATGAGTGATTCTTCCTGCCACCAGAAAATAAATCTGAGATATAGATATATATTTTTAGCATACCATTGAAATTCTTTATCAACATTAAATAAACCCTATATGAGGCAGCACAATGATTTAAGCTCTATCTGCTAACCAAAATATTGGTGGTGTGAGCTCACTAGCAACTAAGTGGGAGAAAAAGATCTGACAATTTACCACCATAAAGATTTATAGCCTAGAAACCTTCCTAGGCAGCTCTCCTCTGTGATAGAGGGCCTCCATGACTTGGAATTGACTTGAGGGCACACAAGAAGATCTGTATCTAGGAGTGAACAATATTTTTTCTGAGATGTGAACACAAACCAAGCACTTAGGAATCCAGAGTAGCTATGCTTGGAAACCAATCAACTCAACAGCCATAGGGTTTGGGTTTTGCTTAATTTTTTTAAACTCCTTTTCACACTATATGCATTTTATAGAGGAGAAATTATGTGCTATCGTGGTTGTTACAAGCTAAGGATTTTCAAATGTTGAGGATGTTTCAAGAAGCTATTGTATTGCAAGCTCCCCAATGTTCATGGTGACCCTCCCAGTAGTGGGTGGTTCACAGACATTTCCTGTTGCTACACCATTTATAACTTCCTGGTCCTTGACATTTATGTTGTGTAAGTCTGTGTACTGCTGATAAAATGAATTGAGTAGCCACCTACAGATTTTAACCTGATGCTTGTTTTTAAATGTCCACAGTAAGAATCTCACAGTAATTCCCTAAGCCATTAAATTTTTAACATCAAGTTCCAATACTGAAGCTTATCAGGCATCTCTCTGAAGAAGGGATTCATAACCTTAAGCAGGTGCTCAGGAGAGATCAGTGCAAGTTTTCATACAGAACAGATTCTGGGTTGTTCCTACACAAGTTTGCAAACTCAAGAAACAAAATCAATAGTTATAATATTCTTGTCTTAATTTTGAACGTGGTTGTTAGTTGCCACAGAGGTGCTTCTGGCTCATGGTGACCCCTTCTATGCTCCACACGGCTTTCCTGGCTGTAATTTTAACCGAAATGGAAGCACCTCACCAGCCTTTGCGCCCATATCTAACTAAAACTGAAACCAAAGATTAAGCCACCATTCTTTGGGTTGGCAGTTGATATCAAATCAGTTGCACTACCTATTTTGTGTCAGGAGGTGGACAATCCCCTCCTGGGCGATTAACTGCCTCTGAAAACCCAATGGAGGGGCAGCTATAGGCTGGTTCTGAATCGATGGTACATAACAACAACAACAAACTACCTTGTGGGATAGTCCTGGTGGTTTAGTACGTACGGAGTTATGCTGCCAAACCCAAAGGCAGGTGATCAGAATCTACCATTTGCTCCTTGAGAGAGAAGATGGGCAATTTCCTCCAGTGCAATTCATAACCTCTGACAAACTGCTGGGAGGTCAGCTACGAGTTGGTGCTGATTTGATAGCAATGAGTTTTGAGTTTTATAGCTTTCAGAGGGAGCTCTGGTGGCTCTGGCCTAAAGGAAGTTTCTCTGGTAATGCAAAGGCATTACCTTTCTGGTGATTCAAATCCACCAGGTTCACCTTGGGAGAAAGATAGGCAATTTCCTCCTCTGTAATTTACAGCCTCAGAAACCTACTGGACTGTCAGCTATGAGTTGGTCCTGACTTGATGGTACTGTGTCTGAGTGACAGCTTTTAGAGATCACTGTTTAAGTGATTTAAAATTTTAGAAAGAAGGTACTTGACTATGAATGATTACAAAAAACACAATGTATAAGAAGGAAACACAATTTGTATGAATCACTTTATAAAACACAATGCATATGAATCATATATGAAAATCAAATAAAAAAAGAAAGTACCTGATGTCTTCTGAATGAGACTGTAAGTTTTACGAATAAGAATTTTGTTATATACACTACTGAACCCAAATGCCTAACACAAATTTTACAGAGTATATGTGTATGTGTTTTTATATATAAAAGTAAAAAGATAATAATAATAACAATAGGACTCTGCTATTATTAGCTCCTGAGTTGGCTTCAAATCATCTAAATTGCTGTTACTGATATGATACTACCATATATGATAATAACATTGTCAATAGATAATATATGATGTTATTGTATCGTATCAATAGAGAGTTTTTCAAAGGTTATAATGAACTTCTACTTTTTTTCTTATTAGTGCTTATCAGTACCTTTGTTTTCTCAATTAGGAAATGAAGAAAAGGAAAACTCACCCTCAGGAGCACCAGGTTTTTCACTTATTCTAATTTGCCGTTCAGGTACCACAGGCTCCCCTTCTGCATTTCCAATATCTGCAGGAAGGTATGGCAACGACCGACTCTCTTCCCTCAGTGACCTTGGGAAATACAGAGGTAGCAGCTTTTGGTAGACAGCCTGTGGCAGAAAAGCAAGACAGTTTATTAAAAATAATGAAGTAGCAAAGCAAATCTCAGTGATGCTTGCTGCTGCTTCAGATACTGTTAAGATAACTTCTAGCAAGAATTAAAATATCACCATTTTGTGCTCAAGCTAAATGCTACCTGAACCAAATTTTGTTCTTAGATCAAAGATCAGGGTATTGTTAGCCAGTCAGGTAAAATGAGTTCCTATGCTGGAAATTGCAGGTGACTTAACCTGGAGTTCATTAATACTACCTCTCCTATCTTCATCCCCCTACCTTCACCATACTGTTGATATCTGTCAATATCCAGCTCAAATGTCACCTCTTTAACCCCCAAGAGGCCATTAGGGTCAGATGGATGTAGGCTCAGTTTTCATTATTATACTGTTATTACTAACCATTCCTATGTAACTATTAATTATAGCATTAGAGGCACAAGAGAAACAGTACTGACAGAAAGGATGCAGGACAGGGTAAGGTTATGAGTTGTTATTCACATGGTTGCTCAGTTGTAGCTGACTTGACAGCACCCAACAACAATATCATTTAACAATTCTTAAGTATTGATATAATAATAAAATATATTTTAATAGAATATATATTCTAGAAATATAATAGAAAATATTCTGTATCTAATAAATAAAACTTACTGGATTTTCTTATTTATCAATTCCTATTAAGTGCTATTTTATGACAATAGTAACATCTTTAACCTAAATCCCATGCTCAGCATCAAACTGACATGAATAAAAGTCTGATAATCATCCATCTGTGATGCTCCATTAGCTCCAATTAACATTCAACATGAGAAAAGAGGACCTGTCTTCATCTCCTCTATTCCTCTCCCCGAAACCTTCCTCTCTTTCTGCTTGTGATGTCACTGTTAATATTTTTAGAGGGCTTTAGGCCTTGTGTCCATAGGGTCATTATGAGTTGTGCTCGACTTGAAGGCAATCAACAACAACAACAACAAAACACTGAATATCTACCAGCTGCTCTGCAGGAGATGGTTAGGCAATTTCCTCTCAGGTGATTTACTACCTCTGAAAACACACTAGAGAGTCAGCTATGAGTCAGTTCTGTCTTGATGGTTATAACAACTCCTTAACCACAAGGGCATTCATTAATAACTAGAACATGAAATGTATATAGCGTAGACCTTGGAAAATGGGAAGTTGTCAAAAATGAAATGGAACATAGAAAGATCAACATTCTTAGGCTTTAGTGAGTTGAGATGGACTGGGATTGGTCATTTCAAATCAGAAGATTTTATGATATACTATGCCAGGAATGACAAACTAAAGAGGAATGATGTTGCATTCATTGTCGAAAAGAACATTTCAAGATCCATACTGAAGTACAATGCTGTAATAGGATATTATCCATACATATAAAAGGAATACCTGTTAATACAACTATTATTCAAATATACATGTCGACCACTAAAGCCAAAGAGGAAGAAATGGACAATTTCTACCAACTTACGTAGTCTGAAACTCATCAAACATGCAGTCAAGATGGATTAATAACTACTGGTGACTGGCATGCAAAAGTTGGAGACAAAGAATAAAGACTGATATTTGGGAAACACAGACTTGGAAACAGAAATGGTGCAGGAGATCACATGGTAGACTTTTGTATAAACAATGATTTGTTCACTGCAAATACTTTTTTAAAAAATACAAAGAGCAACTATACACATGAACCTCAGCTGATAACCTACACAGGAATAAGAAATAAATAAGACAGTCTGTGGAAAGACAAAGTTCATTATCAGCAGTTAAAACAAGGTCAGAGTTGACTGTGGAACTGACCATTAACTATTAATATGCAAGTTCAAAGTGAAGGTAAAAAAAAAAGAAAAAGTGGTTAAGAAAAAAGAAAAAAAAGACCTGGAGTCTATCTGAATTAAAAAAAATTATCTTAAGAACAGATGTGATCCACTGAAGAGTAATGACTAAAGATCAGACTAGTTGTGGGATGACATCAAAGACATCATTTATGAAGAAAGCAAAAGCTGGTAAAAACACAGTGAAGAAAGGAAAGTGGATATCAGAAGAGCTTCGGACACTTGCACTGGAACGAAGTAACCAAAATATGGGGAAGGAATGGTAAAGTAAGAGAAGTGAACCAAAGATTTCAAAGAGTACCTTGAGAAAACATTATACCAAAATGCTCAGAGCTGGAGAAAAATAAAACAAAATAAATAACACACTTAACATTTCTCAAACTGAAAGAACTGATGAACAGTTGCAATACTGAAGGATTCTGTGGGCAAAATCTTGAATGATGCAGTACACATGTAAGATGGAAGTAATATAAAGTCACTGATCCAAAACTTTTTGGTCAACACTGAACCATTTCAGGAAAGCATAAGATCAAAAATCAGTGAAGACCCAAGGAAATAGTACAAGCTGCACTCAATGCACTGGCAAAAAATAAGGCCCCAGGAATTGACGAAATAGCAATTAAAATATTTCAACAGACAGATGCAGCCCTAGATATGCTCACTAGCCTATGCCAAGAAATTTGGAATACAGCTACATGGTCAACTGACTAGAACAGATCCATATTTGTTCCCATTCCAAATAAAGGTGAGCTAAAAGAATGTGGAAATTCTTGAATATCATTAAAAAACATGTAAATCAAGTAAAATCTTGCTGATGATTATTTTAAAAATGGGTGGAACAGTAATCAATTGGGAACTTCCAGCAATATAACCTGGATTTAGAAAAGACCATGAGGGGAGCTCTGGTGGCCTAGTGGTAAGGAGCTGCAACTACAATCCCAGAGGCACATAGTTCGAATCCACCAGATGCTCTGCCGGGGAAGGAGGGACAATCTCCTCCTGTACCAGTCAGATCTGATTTGACAGTACACGCACACAAAAATAATAAAATAAAACAAATTTTTTTAAAAAAGAAAAGGCCATGGCACAAGAAATATCACTGATGTCAGATACACCGTGGCTGAAAGCAGAGAGTACCAGGATATCTATCTGTGTTTTAGTGACATGTAAATACATCTGACTGTGTTTATTATAACAAATTACGTCTAACACGGAGAAGCACAGGAATCCCAGCACACTTAATTGTGCTAACTGTGAAACCTTTATCTAAGACCAAGAAGCACTTGTCAGAACAGACAGAGCAAGGGAACACTGCATGGTTTAAATTAGGAAATTTGTGTCAAGATTATATACTTTCTCCAATGATTCAATCTATATACTGAAGAAATCATTCAAGAAGCTGTGACTATATGAAAAACAATATGATGTTAGGATTGGAGGAAGACTCACCATTACCAATAACCTGTGTTATGAAGATGATATAACTTTGCATGCAGAAAATGAAGACGACATGAAGTACTTACTAAAGATCAAAGCATTCAATATGGGTTCCATCTCAATATCAAGAAAATAAAAACCCTCAATCTCTATACCAAGAGGCAACAGCGTGATGGATAGGAAAAATATTAAAGTTAACAATTTCAACATCCATGGTAGCAGCAGCCAAGAAATCAAAAGATGTGTTTTACAAAGAAAATCTGCTGTCAAGGATGGCAATTGAGTAAGGATGTCACTTTAAAGACTAAAGTGGACTTGATCCAAGCCATAGTATTTTCACTTGTTTCCTATGCATCTGAAATTTGGATAACTAATAAGGAAGACTGAACAGGAATTGATACTTTTGAATTGCAGTGTTGATAAAGAGTATTGAATATACCACAGACTGTCAAAAGAACAAAGAAGTGTGTCCTGGAAGAAGTTCGACGAGAATGCTCTAAGAGGCAAAGATGGTGAAACTTTGACTCACATACTTTGGGCATGCTGTCAAGAGGGATCAGGCCTTGGAAAAAAAGATACCATCTTGGGAAAGGTAGTTGTTGTTAGGTGCTGTCAAGTCACTTGTGATTCATAGCGACCCTATGTAAAATAGCCCTAAACCCTGCTCTATTCTGTGCCAATCTTATTCTCTCTGACAGATCTACGCTCAGTCACTGAATCAATTAATCTCATCAAAGGTCTTCCTCTATTGCACTGTCCTTCCACTCTCCCAAGCATGAAGTCCCTCTCCAAGGACTGGTCCTTCCTTGAAACATGTCCCAAGTATGTCAGACAAAACTCCAGAATCCTTGCCTCCACAGAGGGTCAAAAAAAGAGAGGAAGACCTTCAATAAGATGGATTGCCACAGTAACTGCGACAATGGGTGTGGGCATAGCACAGATGCTGAAGATGGTGTAGGATAACGTAAGGTCCAGGTTTATTGTTTACAGGGTTGGTATGAGTTACAGTCAACTTGACACCTAATAACACTAACTACATACAATAAAATACATAAACCTGAAATCTATACAGCTACTGTCTCTACACTAGATTGTCATCTATTTCCACATCAAGTATGTAGCAAAGCTCTGCTAGTATAGTGGCAATTTTCCAGTTATGGAGAGAAGATTGAGGAGGTCAATGGCTTCATCTTTTTTTATTTTATTTATTTTTATTTTATTTTATTATTTTGTGTGCGTGTACCGTCAAATCAGATCTGACTGGTACAGGAGACTGTCCCTCCTCCAGTAGAGCATCTGTCCCTCCTCCAGTAGAGCATCTGGTGGATTTGAACTGAGAGCCTCCGGGATTGCAGTGCAGCTTCTTGCCACTAGGCCACCAGAGCATAGTAATAATTTTATTTTGCATATGACAACAACAATCTTGAGTATTGAGATGGTTAAATCTAACCTTCAGCAGAGGTGAGGGGGGACCCTCCACCAGGTGGATTGACAAGGTGACTGCTGCAGTGGGCTCTTGTGTGTCAGGAAGTGTGGGGATGGCACAGGATGGGACCAGGTTTGGATCTTTTCTTCATAGGGTCTCTATGAGTCATATTCGACTCAATGGCACCTAACAACAACTTTTGCTTAGGTGTTGAGGTAATGCCTTGAGAGTTAACACAGTGGATAAAGAAGACCAGCTCCACAAGATGTCCATGGCAAAACCATTAAAAATATGAACAATAGCTCCTGTCTCAGTAATGTTCAGTCTCTATACAAAGCCTTTCTCAATGAATGACTGACTGTAAGTTACACTGGTAATTCAGTAAAGAATGAATGTTAAAGTAAACACAATGACTTACAACTAAGATTTACACAATGCAACATAATTAGTAAAATACCTCTTCCAGTTCAGAGACAGCAAATACCACTTTTTCAATGGTTTCCCCATGGATTTCTAAAAATCTCCTTACAGTGCCTAGGGGGGGAAAAACAGAAGGATGGATTAATAAATCAAGAAAGAATTTCTGTGTTAAAAGAAATGCAATTCTTCACTGTTTTATTTTTGTATGGATTGTTTTGTCGTTTAAGATGTCTACTTAGTGACACCTAAACTGTGAAACCTGCCCAGACCACTTTATCTATTAAAAACCTGTTCTTCATTTTCTTTCCTCCAGGGCACTTAAAAGATATTTTATAGGATTTCTGATTTATTTTCTGTACTCTCTGAACCCCTCTAACCTATGCTAGAAAATGAAAGCTCTACAACAGTTAAATACTGTTTTATTTATGCTCTAATTATAGTACCTAGAATATTGTCTGACCATAGTTTTCCCTTACCCGGCATTTCACTCTTATTTTCTAGGGCCTCCCTTTGACCAGAATGATCTAGCACTATACGGTCTTTTCAAAGATTCAGTTCTGTTACTAGAGTCCTATTCAGCTTTTCATTATCCTTCACAAAACCTTCACACCAAATCAAAGCTGAATTCATTACTATTTTAAATTCTATGCTATCCTGATGTTTTTCCCCGATACATTTTCCAGTAATAAGTACTAATGATCTTTTCTCAGTCTTTAACTTTCTGGAGACCTCTGTAGCTTTAGTTCCTAGCCCTACCTTTTTAAAATGTTCTCCATTTCTTTTTCAATATCTGTTTTGAACACCTTTTTCCCCCTTGATGTCCATATTCTCTTTGCTACATTAATTTTCTGGTTAATATTAAAAACACTGATGACTCTTTATATTTGGTTTCCTAAAAAATAATAAAAAACAACCACCAGCTGACTTTCTTACTACCTACTAGGTCTCTCTGCCCAGGTAAGTCACCCACAGACATCAAACTAAACATGGTCAAATTTGACCACCTCAGAGGCTCAAGCCTGGGTTCCATCTTCTATCCCCAATATCTACTCCTTTCCCTTATTCTTTAATGAAGTTATATGGCAACATCCAAGTAACAGTCCAAGTTGGAATCAATAATTATCTCTGATACTTTCTTCAGCCTGAATTTTCAGTTGATTACCATGTTCTGCTTGCTGAAACGGAGGAGGACCTGAAGCGCTTGCTCCAGAGGGTCAAGGACTACAGCCTCCAATATGGATTGAGGCTCAATGTCAAGAAGACAAAGATTCTCACCACTGGGCCAATTGGCAGCATCAGGATGGATAGTGAAGAGATTGAGA